TATATATATATATATAGGGATTGGTTCCAATGCATCCACTTATTTAAAGTGTGAACGTGAGACTCATTCCTAGCCACAAGATTTGGTACATCATGTGTGGCCAAGATTTACTCTTTTATTTTTATTATTTTAATTATTTAAATATTATTTTGACTCGTTGACTTCCGGTGTTGACCGTTGACAACTAACCTTCCAACTAGGTTAGTTCTCTGTAGTTTTTAAGTTAGTTCTATGTAGTTGCTAGGCTAGTTCTCTGTAGTTGCTAGGTTAGTTGTTTGTAGTTGCTAGGTTAGTTCTCTGTAGTTGCTAGGTTAGTAGTAGCTAGGTTAGTTCTCTGCCTAAGTTAGTTCTTTGTAGTTGCTAAGTTAGTTCTCTGTAGTTGCTAAGAGTTGTCTGCATTTTAAGAGCTGAGCGCATTTGATCCGCCCATATATATATATATATATATATATATATATAAGGTATTGCAAGGTGAAAATATAACTAAAATGGATGGAGTATAAGGTAAATTATATTAAGAGACCAAGGTACATCTACATAAATGTCTGAAAATAATATATTTTAATAAATATGTATTATATTAAATGTTAATTTGTATTTAAGTTGTTTATATTTAATGTATTTGTATCTTGTTATTTTAACTATGTAATTTAGCTATATCTAATTAATTATATTATATGTTCATGTATATTTATTATATCTTATATTTGCATATTGATATTTGCAATTGATATAGTCAAATATCATCATGTATATTTGTTTGAGAAGTAAACTTAATGAAATGGTCATAGTCAAAAAGTGAACATCTTTATGATCATTGGCTAGTGGCTATCATACATTAACTGTTTTGGTCAACAAATATGGATGGTGGCCATATTGACTTTGAATTAGGTTTAATGAACTTCCTATTAGTTTTTCCAACTTTTTATTTTTTATTATGTGATGGCTGACAATTGTCAAATTTCCAAATATTCTAATTTCTATTATTCATGCCAACAGGTTTTACAGGTTAGGATGAATTATTGTTTTTATTAAAGGATGTATATTGTATAGCATTCATGTAACTTTTTTTCCACCACTATTTAATGATCCCTCAAATTTCAAGTTTTTTTAAAGATTAAATACAAATTAAATCTAATTGTTAGACAGATCGATTCGTTATTTTATTACATAAATATATAATTGACGTGAAATATCATATTATATTTATATTATTTTTTATAATATTTTTTTTTAGGATGATTGTATATGTACCTATTAAAAAATAAATTAGGAGTACCTAAGAGCATACTTAGTTAATCAAATGCATTTGAAATTATAATAACATAATACCTAGAATTTCAGTGTTGAGATATCCAAATAAATTTTTATATATACACATCATTTTGTGAAATAAAAACTTCATTTTTCTATACTAATGAATTAGACAAATCAACCTCATTAACAATGATATTCATGAGTTGATACGTGTAATAATTGTGACATAATCATAAACACGTATCATTCATCAATAAAATAAAACATGAACTGAAATCTGATTCTCATTAATTTAGTGCCCAGGATGTATACTGTATACCCCCACAAGACAAGTGTTCTTTTTTCCCCTATTTTATTGGCCAGAAAAATATACACACACTACCTTAATTATTGAAATCAAAAACACTAATTTTATTCACAACTCTATAACTGTGACATTCTTTGATAAATTATTAAAAACTTACAGAAGTTAATCTAAACCACATTCTTGCCAGCCATTGTTCACAAAAAGAAGGCATTCCTAAGTTTACTCCTAATAATAGCCCCTGTAAGCTCATGCTGTTAAAAGAATTAATTAATAAATTAAGCTAAAAAAACAAAAAAAGCTAATTGAGCAGAATATATACAGAGGGCACCCAACTCACAACTTATAATCCTCGTTCAAGAAGCTTTCGTAACGTGTTCCCTTAAGTGCATTCTCAATTTCTCCCCAGTTTTCGACCTGAGAAGATAAGGATCCTTTGTGTATCTTCACTTGTCGACTATTTAGGTTCTGTATTGGAACCCTCAGAAAATTTTGAACATCTAACAATTTCTGTCGAAAATAAAAAACATGGTGACTAAAATGGCTTGTGATTTTTTTTTTTTTTTTTTCAAGATAACATTATACTGGAAGATAATCAAAGCTTTATGTAATTTATGACTTACAGTTCGATTCTTTATGATGTCCTCGTAGTATAGGATAATGTGACGAGTGCTATTGAAATATTGCAAGGATTTGTTAACCATATCCTCGACTTGCATCAAGTTTGGTATGAGCAAAGTTGTGTTAATCGTGGGCTTGTAACTCGCAAGAATCTCAGCCTGCAGGGATTAAGTAGGCTTTAGGACTATCACACGGATAATTAAAAAAAAAAAAAAAAAAAAAAAAAAAAAAAAAAAAAAGACCAAATCAGGTGTAGTATTTGGTAAAGCATATAAGCTATTTTATAGCTTATTTGATTAGCTTCCTGTGTTCAAATAAGCTTGGTTTGGTAGGCCGAACTTTTTTTGAAAAGCTCGAGCTTATCTTATAAGCTTCCTTCCTTTAAGTAGCTTTTCAAATAAGCCCAGTGGAATTTTATTTCAGCTAATTTTATCAAACTCTTTTATCATATTAGTTAGCTTTTCAGCAATAAGTCATAAGCTGTCAGCTATAAGCTCAAAATTCACTTAAAAGATATAAGCTAGCTTACCAAACATGTATTATCCTTGTTTTATAGTTTATACAATTAGACTAATTAGTGTATCGTGTGATATACATATATATGTCTATATATATATATATATAGAGAGAGAGAGAGAGGGATGAAGGACCTCGTGAGGTGAGTGAACATGAGATTTGTGAGTCCCGTTGAGGGGCTTTGCATTCTGATCGTAAGAATTTGCTAGAACTGAAATCATGCGGCGTAAAAGATTCTTTCTGAATAGAAAAATAGCCGATACCCCTCTAGAATTGAAGTATTCAACTATTTTTTCGTGATGTTGCATTAAGCCCTGCCAAAAA